GCGCCCGGGGCTGCGCACCCGGGAGTTTGGGGCCGCCCGGCAGCCTCCCGCCAGGCCCCTCCCTGCCTCCCGGCCAGCGCGTCCTCTGGCACAGCCCCTCCCTGGCGCTCACCTCCCTCAGCCTTCCGGGAGCTGGACGGGGCCTCTCCAGCTTCGGGTAGCTTGGGACGGTGGCCCGAGACTGCGGGAATCTGAAACCTCGCTTCTGGCTAGCCACAGGATCAGGGCGCGCCCTAAGCAGCAGGGTCTTGATCAAGTCCCTTACCTCTCGGGGCCTCCGTTTTCTCATTCGAGAAATGGACGTAACACCCCGGGGGTTTGTGAGGATGGAAGGAGCTTAGGGAAGGTCTCTTTTTAGCCCGCTCACCAAGTCTTGCTTTGCGTTTTGGTTTTCGGGGTGCTTGTTTTATTTATCCTCTTATGTCCATCAGATTCAGGCCCTAGCTCAGTGCCTGGCACAGAGTTAGGTGGCTGCTCTGTTAGTGGAATGAATGAAATAGAATGGGCTGCAGCCTGTGCATCGCTGGTGCAGAATGCTCAATTCCACACCGCAATAACTGGTAAGAGTTATCTGCCCGTCCCCAGGTCACAACCTCACCAGCTCCCTGATCTAATTTTGTGTTCCTTCTCATCCTGCCTCAGCCTGCGTCCCACCGCTACTCATAGCGGAAAGGACCTCTTGTCTACATGGAGAAACTAAGGTCCAGAGGGGCAGGTTGTTGCCTCACCTCACTAGGGGTTGGGGACAGAGCCATAGACCAGGCCTATGCCCTCAGCCCTGACTCGGTGCTCTTCACTGTTTTAAGAACATGAGGTTTGATCCCTTGTGGATGGTCTTGTTTGGGTGCTTGGATGGTGCCCTTCACCCCATGGAGTCCCTGGGGCTCAGCTCAGTAAAGGAGCTCAGTAAACATTTGATGTCGAGAGTGGGCAGAAGGTGGCAGCGATTTGTGGGGCCGAGCAAGAGTGCAGATGGAGGCTCACATACCATATGTCTAAATATTTGAAAGTTATAAATCAAGCTAACAAAACGTGAAATAAAATATGTTCTATTCTCCTCTCTTGACAAGTACATTTTCATAACAACTTGGAAGACGAGCTTTGAATGTCGAATTCTCAGACTCCTCGGACGCTGCACTGGAGCATGGTGGCACAGGGAGAGGAGACCCCTTTGTTCCCCACCTCTGACCCTGGCCTGCCCTGCAAGGGGCCTTGTGCACACACTTGTGAATGTCTCAGCCTGCACAAGCATGGTCCACACCGCCCTTGCCCCCCGGAGAGCTGCCCAGGGCTGGGCATCCCAGTGGTACAGTCTGTCCTCAGGGGTTGGATCTCAGAAGACCCACCCAGGTGCTGCAAGTAGGCTTAGGGCCATCTGGGCAGAGAATCCCAGGGTCCTGGGTACCTGGAGTGTGATCTAGAGGAGGGGGCACAGGCTCCAGGTGGGCACGTCCCCGCGGCCCCATGGTTTCTTCTCCCTGTGATGAGATCTTAGCTGGAGGAGGACCAGAGTGTGGGGACCGGTGCAGGGGCCACTCGCACTTAAGTGTGGTACTGAATTGGTGAACTGTTTTGAGCCAATGTATCGGCTTCCTGGAATTTTAGTGTGGTAAAGGTGGAAAATAATAATAATAGTAATAATAATTTAAACAGCAACAGGAAATTATTTTAGGGTGGCCGTAAAATTTTCTTCCAAACCATTTTTGAGAGTAATTGGGGACTGTAACTGGAAGATTTGCTGGGCTATCAGGCATGAAGCAGGACTCTGCCAGGCAAAGTAGGATGTTTTGTTCTGCTAAAATATCGAGCCCTCATATGCCAGGCATTATTCTGACTGCTTTACGTGCTGTCACTCATTTAATCCTCACAACAAACCTCACAAGTAGGTGTTGTTATTTTTTCCACTTTACAAATGAGGAAATGAAGGTTAGAGAAGTGAGTGACTTGCCCAGGGAAAGTGGTGGACCCAGGACTCCAGAGCCATGTCCTCAGCCCCCATGCTGCCCTGTGCCTGGGGCTCAGGTGTTTGGGCTTGAGCCCCTGTCCCACAGCACACGTCTCCTGACCTTTGGGGAGCTGCTGGACCTCCAGTGTCGTATCCATCAGTTGGGGATGTTACCTGACTCACCTTCTGCAGGGGCTGCTGGGTGACACACATGAAGCAGTGGGTGTGAGTTCTGTGAGCTGGAATGAACTGAGAGAGGAGGGAGGGAGGGAACTGAGGCCCATGGCCAGAAAGGCCCGCCCTGCTCGTGATAAGGATGAGGAGGAGTCCTTTGGTCTGAGTCAGTGGAAAGTCTTAATGTGAAAGTCTCTTTGAGGAAATGTCCTTCTAACTTTAAAGAACAGTTCAATTGTGACGATATAAACGCAAATTAATTAAAACGTTCAATTGTCAATAGTTCTTTCATATATAATTACATACGATAGTGAACAGGTATCTAGTGCTTCTGCTGTGCCAGCCATTGTTCCAGATACTTTGCTTATCCTAACTCATTTAATCCTGATCACAGCCCTAGGAGGTAGATTCTGTTATTATTCCCATGTACAGGTGCTGAAGCCCAGGTGTTGCTCTAAAGTGCTTTAAGGTATATCAACAACCCTAGGTCATAGGCGCTTCTATTATCTCCATTTTACATATGCAGAAACTGAGGCACAGAGGGTTTAAACTGGATTGCCCACAGTCATACAGCTAGTAAGTGGCACAGTCAGGGTTGAGATGTAGGAAGTCTGGATGCTGAATCGCTCACTATACTGTTCACTAGACAAGAGAGGGGGAAGTCATGGAATTTTCCCAGGCTTCTCCTGGAAGTTCCTGTAAACCCTCGACCCTCTCCCCTCTGTACCCCCTCTACGTGCCTAGAGCACTGAGTGCCTCACACATAATGGAGTCTGAATACATCTTGACTATTTCCTATTCCTAAGTTGAAGGAAACAATCCTTGACTTTCTAAGTGGCCCACTTTTGGAGTGAGTTCTCCTTTCTTACTAGTAAAACTTTGAAAATTCACCAAGGAAGGGAAACCTGGCCAAGTTTTTAATCGGAAAGAACCACATACAGCGGGTCTAAGTTATCGCCAGCTCTTGGTGAATGGGTCCAGAGCAATGTGCTTGGATGTACTTTCAGCCCAGTCTTAGAAGCACCCAGTAATGGAGTGTCTGGGCAGTCGGGGTCTGGGGTTTCCAATCCAACTTCCCAGATTGTTGAGATACAGAAACTGAGGGCATAGACTTGAGGTCTAGAACATTCTTAAGCCTATACATGCATTGTTCAAGGAAATGAAAAGTAGAGGATTTCTCTCTTGCCACCATAGCTCACACAATCTTGGACTTGGCTGGACGGATGTGCATAGTCCTCTCCTCTAGAGCTGTCTACCCTGGGGCCCTGATCAAGAAGGGAACAGGAACCTGACCCTTCGCAGCCTCTCATGAATGTTTGTGTGGCCCTGGGTAGCACCCTGCCCTCTCAGGGCCTGGCATTTGCTCCTAAAGACGCTTCTAGGAGTCTAGAGATGGGATAAAGTGGAATGTCAGGTTGTCGGAAAAACCTGTTTGTTCTCTTCTCTGTCAGATCTTTTTGCCTCTCTAAGCCTCAGTTTTCTCATCTGTGCAATGGGGATTATAAGAGATAGCGTGAGGAATCGATACGATAATATGTGTAAAGCCTTCTAAGCCTGGGTCCAGCTTCAGAGGTTGTTAGCGCTTCCTTTTGGTCTATGGTTTAAACCAGAAGTCACGCTCTGGTGGTCTGCAGGTGTGTTTTGCTTGGCCCGCCCGGTGTTTTTAAATATATGATTTTGTTGACAACATTTCAAGTTTGGGAGAGTCACACAAGAAGCTTGATCCCCAGTTCCTCTTGAAAAATGGGAATATTTTTGGCAGCAGGGCACCCGGATTCTCAAATGAAGAGGAGTGACGTCCACACATCTTTAACACCTCAGTCATGGCCCTGCACCCCCAGCAAAGCCCTTCGGGAAGGAAGGAAGCCGGTATTTCCTGAGCATCCTACTGTGTGTCAGGGACCCTATCAGCAGCTGTGCCTACATATAGCATTTAATCCTCACCATAAATTATTAATAGCTTTACTTTGCCAATGAGGAAATAGAGGCTCAGAGATTTGTGATGAGTTGCTCAAGCTCACAGCGTTAGCGGAAGGTACAGCCAGCACTTCTAATCAGGACCCGTGTCACTTTTCTCTTTTTGGGCTCTTTCCACCCTCAGCCTTGCACAGGGTCCATGGAGAAACCCTGGTTAGGACTTGTTGATGGGTTGATAGATGGGTTTGGGCATGTGATGTCAATGCCTGTGGTTCTCATTCTTTTACTTCAGATCCCCCGGGGGGGCTGTGGAGTTAGGGTAGGGGTCCAGGAATCAATGTGTACACCTAGAATTCTTGGAATAAAACTCTCCTACCTACATATAAGACGATTGTAGTTTTAAATTTTTTATTATGAAAATGTTCAAATCTACACAATTGAAGAAAGTAATAGTATAATAAACCCCCATATATGTGTCACCCAGATTCAGCAATTATCAACATTTTGTCCTATTTTCATCTACACTTTTTTGTTTGTTTCTTTTTCTTTATTGCATTATTTCAAAATGTAATCCAGATATCTCGCCACCTGTACATCCATCAGTACAGATTTTTAAAACTGCCTGGTTTTGACTGCTAAGAGCTGATTGTGCTCATTTCTTTTAAATTCCTAGTTCAGTGATGTCATGTTGGTAGTTTGAAATCGGCCATGGTGAGAGTATTTACACCGTGGAAATCAGTACGCGTGACAAACCAGGCTCCGTTCTCACCTCCACCCCGGAGTACCGGTTGTTAAATGTTTACACCGCTGTCTAAAACACACAGACGTTTTCTTACATAAGCACCATGCTATGATCTCACCTAATGAAATTAATGGTAATATTCTAATCGAATGTCCCCAATAGTTTCCAAAGTCTCCGTTTACAGGTGGCTTGTCTAATCAGGACCCAAACAAGGTCCACCTATGACATTCAATTGTCACGTCTCTTAATTTTTCTTAATCCAGGGCATGCCCTGCTCTCTCCCTCATCTGTGGTTTTTTTTATACCCTTGATCATTGCAGATGCCAGGTTAGTTGATCTGCAGAGGGTCCCCGTTGTGCGTTGGCTATTTGTGCTGTAAGTTATCATGTTCCTCTGTCCCTGTAGTTTCTGTTTTTAAAGTTTGAATAGATTAATCTAAACTTTTTTGTTTTTGATTTTTTTTTTTTGCAGGGGGCCAGAAGACTTCATAGATGGTGCTGGGTTGTACAATTAATTTTTCAAGGCCTGTAGATGGTTTATGATGCATGAAATGCAAAGTTATTGAACGCATTTTAAAATTTATGGTGGCTTTTTGTTATTTTACCATCAATGTCTATATTACAAACACACCCACTATGGAATCTTTTGCTATGAAGGAGGGGTTGTCAGGCTCAGGAAAGCTGGGCCCCTCTGATTGGGCCTCACCAGTCTGGGCAGGTCTTTCTACATTCCGGTCTCAGGGATGAAGAACTGTTTTTGGGAGTTCATTCCAGGATGCTGTCACTTGGATGGTCAGATAGTCCTACCTCATGTCTAACTGCAGTCTTTCCTGCTTTAGGTGCAGCCCATTTTCTCTACCTGGAACCTTGGAATTTAATTTCCCCTTTCTCAAGTCTCTTCTAGCACTGAGGAGAAAAGCAACCCCAAGTATCCTGTGATTCTAGGATTCTAAATCCTGTACTTGAAGTGGTAATCCTTTCGCCCCAAGGCGTTTCTAACCTCGTTGTGTCCCCAGCCCCAGGAGAAGTGGTACGTACCTTCTCCACCCACCCGAAGGATGGGGGGCCTCATGGGTCAGGGCAGAGGGATTTGCCTTTGCCTACTGTCCTGGAACCCCGCTGTGTGCCTTGGCTAGCAGGTCTGGGGTCTTGTCCACA